AGGTTAAATAAGTTACACAACATCATTAGGAATGCTACAAGAAATATCAATAAGTAAGCCAACAACAATATTTAAGTATCTTTTAGTGTGAGAGATGTTGGCACCATACATCATTACCATCATGAGGGAACACTGTAGAATTCAAAATTTTCTAAAATCAATTTTTAACAGCATAGAAGAGATGCACAAATAAAGCACTGAAAGTGAAAATAAAAGGTGACCAGTGCTGTCACATTTTTAGTAAAGTAATTGGCATGTCTGGTAGTGAAATAGCAATAGGTTGTTTACATATTTCAGGACAAACAACTTTTAAATTGTAATTTGTGTTTCCTAAGGCTTCAAAGTTTTTTTTTTGTTTTTTTTTTAATGTTTTCCATGAAAACTCACCAGCAAAGACCCACAACAATGATTTGGTAATACCTTTCTGCTATTTAGCAACTTGGAATTATGAGAAGCTATTTGATCCCTCAGATTGTTTAGCTAGGACATTTTTGGTGGAGAAAACAAACATGATTAATGTGATATTTGCACTACAGATCATAATCATGCTTCATTCGCCAGAATCTTCCCTAACTGCTGATACTCAGATTTGGGGTGATAGGAATAAGTTAGTCAATAAGAAGCAAACTCGGTTACTAGTAACTGCGTATATGTAATGCATTAAATCATACAATGATTCTTTTTTTTTAAATAATTAAAAATTTTTTGGTTGATCATTAAAAAGTAATGAAAAATCTCAGTGACATCTGCAATGGCCTTATTTGCAAACAAGTTTACATTCAGAGGTATGGAGGGTTAGGAATTCAACATCTATTTTGGGGGGCAACAGTGAATGGGTAAGTATACAACTCAACTCAGAACATACCCTACAGCATGTATAATAGGAAGGCAAGTGGAGAGGGCAGTAAAGTGAATTCTGGGTCTCTCTCAGTTGCTTCTCTAGTTCCTGTTGACATGCAACTGAGCTCTGTTAATGAAAACTGGGAGGAGCTTTGCCAACAAGAAAATAGGAAGGATGCTCATCTCTGTCCCTTTCTTCTTGATTCCCAAAGCAGTTCATCATGTCCATTTGGAGAAACCATGGCAGCCCTTGCCCACTGCGTCCTGTCTCTTCACGAAGTGTAAGCCTTGCTTGCCAGGCTAGGTTTGCAGTCATTGCTCACTGACCAGGCAGGAAACACCACAATGGCTAATGGAAATGTTCTCGGCATATATTGTGCAGTTCTCTAATTTGTTTAGCTAAACTACATTAGTCATACTGAAAGCTTTTCTTATTGATTAAAGTATTATATATGTGTCCTTATCCCCCATGGCCCCCACCACCACTCCAATTCATGCCCTCACCCCCATGGTGTCTGTATCCATTGATTATGCTTATATGCGTGCATACAAGTCTTTTGGTTGATTTTTACTCCTTACCCCCAGCCTCCCCTATCTTCCCTCTGAGGTCTGAGTGTCTGATCAATGCTTCCCTGTCTCTGGATCTGTTTTTGTTAATCAGTTTATGTTGTTCATTATAATCCGCAAATGATTATTTTAATAAGCAATGTCTTGCCCTGGCCAGGTGGCTCACATGGTTGGAGCATCTCTCTCTCTCTCTCTCTCTCTCTCTCTCTCTCTCTCTCTCTCTCTCTCTCTCTCTCCTTCTCTCTCTCTCCTTCTCTCTCTCTCTCTCCTTCTCTCTCTCTCTCTCTCCTTCTCTCTCGCTCTCTCTCCTATGAGTAGCAGGTAGGGAGAGCATTTGAAAAGTAGGTAAAGCTTACAATTTTTTTCACTGTTTCTAACACAGTCTTGGCACATAGAAGGAGAAATATTTGTTATTGAATTAATGAATCTCTCCTCATTCCTCATCCTAGGCCTCTTGGCCTCACTTTTAAATTTCTCTCCAGCTTCCTTCATCTTTGTTCATCTATCTCACAGAAGAAATGTTATTCCACTCACACTAGTCATCCCTCTTAATATTCTCAACCCCACCTGTTACTTCTTCCTCTGGGATGTTAATTCATCTCTTTATCACTTTTCTCATTCTCTACTGACCCCTTACACTCATCCTATAACCCTTTCTGTCCTCTCCTGTCAGAAGAAAAACTATTTTTACTCAGCCTGTCACTAAGGTTACTCTTTACCTACATTGTAGCCACTTAATTTTAGAAAATAAACTTATTTAAATGCAATGCCTCTATATCTTCCTCTTCTACTTAACACATACACCAGCAGGTACCAAAACTTTTAATATTATATATATTCTTTTCTATCAACATGATTTTACATTATTGCAGAGCAAACAGAACTATGACATCTTTCCTAGTTGAAGAACTACCATTTAATAAATATTTACTATGCATTAGATATTATGCTAAACACTTTTACATATATTATTCATCAATTATTCAAAATAATCTTGTGAGGTAAAATATTTTCATTTGAAAATAAGGATACTGAAGCTTAGTTAATTTTTCTCATGTCTATTTATGACTTCAGAATCATTCACCTTGCGAATCATCAGTAGCTAGGTACAAATCTATACTCACCTGTGTACTAATCAACTCCAAGATTGCTCTTTGACTGAGGGTCTACTATATACCAACACTGCTCTGCTGAACATCACCAAAGATTTACCAATTACCTCTGCATTGTTCACATCGCATTAGATTTGCTATGGGATTTGATCCTGCTTATTCCTCATAGATTATAAGGATACCCCTGCCTTCATCAGTTTCTTCTTTTTTCTACTCCTAGCTCCTTAATCCTTTCTTCCCTCTCTCCCTTTAAGAAAAATGCACCCTTCCAATTCTGCCTGCCTTGCATAACCACTGCCCTTTTCTTTTTCACTCCCCAATGAATGAGACATTTACTTTATTATTTCCACTTTCAAATCTCTCATTCATTCTCCAACCTGCTAAACTCGGTTTTATAATAAACACTTCATGGAACTGCTCTTTTCATGACCAACAATAATCTCTCATTACAAATCAAATAAAAAGTGCTCCCTTCCTATCTCACATGACCTTTTTGAAAGTACCAATGTCACTTTAAACTCAATATGCTTAAACAATAACATATGATCTCCACCTGCCACTCAGTTTGCTTTTCATTCAGGTTTTTATCTTATATTTAATTAAAGCTCTATAACCCATTTTAGTAGGTTCCGGACCTTATGGAGTTCTCTTCCACATTTCCTTTTCACTTACCCAATCTTTTTAGCCAATCCTGATTTCTACCTTGGCAAACCATTAATTAGTGGTTCCTAATCATAGGTGCTTAAAATCTCCTGGAGAGTTTTTAAAAAAAATACTCATAACCAGCACTGGCTGACATGGTTCAATGGTTAGAGCATTAGCCTGGACACGAAAGGGTCATAGGTTTGATTCCCAAACAAGGGCACATACCTGTGTTGGATATTTGAACCCTGTCCCTGGTAGGGGTGCATGCAAAAGGCAACCAATCAATGAGTCTCTCTCACATTGATGTTTCTATCCTCTCTCTTTCCCTCCCCCTTCCTGTCTCCCTCCCTCTTTCCTCCCACCTTCCCCCGCCCTTCCAGTCTCTCTAAAAATGAACGGGAAGAAATATCCTCCCATGAGCATTAACAATAAATAATAAATAAATAAATAAATAAATAAATCCCCAGACTCTAATCCCAGATGATTAAAAGAAGTTCAAAGGGTACAATAGGACATGGATAATTTTTAGTATCTTCAAAACATTTAAATTGCAACCAGGATTCATACCCATTGTCTCATATTCTTCTCAGTCTAATAGCTCAAACGCAGGCCCACATTAACTTCCCCTGAATGTTTTAGTCCTTTTCATGTTTACTTTTTGTAGCCTTTCACAGCGCAAGTCAATGCAGTAAAGAAGAAATCTGGTATCTCTACTGTTTTTCAAGGCATTCTAAATACAAAATAAAAGAAAAAGAAGGAAAGGAAAGGAAAAAGGAAGAACAGAAAGAAAGGCAAATAGGCAAACTCGTACCTTAGAAAAAATAATCATGATCTATGATTATTGTGGGTAAGGGGAGCAAGATATGTCTTTCCAACTTTTCGGTTTTTCTAAGCAAAGTGTCTGCCATCATTCTAATTCTCTTAACATAAGTGAGTCCAAGTGAGAAAGTTGGATAATGAAAAATACTATTGATATATTTGCATAAATTACTCTTTCAGATCGATGTATCTCCTATAAATTGAAAATTAAATTTTTTAAAAGTCCTATTTAGTCATTGTGCTATTAGCTGCAGTGTGTTATCAAAAGTCACATTCCACCTGAATAGCATTAGTATAGTAGCACAGGACTTGCCGACGCAAATAAAGAATAGGATTGAACTCACCTATAGACACAGATTCTCAGATCTCCTCTTACACATCAAAACCAATACCAAACGTAAAATCATATACATGATAATATCTGGTGTTAAAACTAGAAGTTTTTATGTGTTAAGGCAACAGGAGTATATAAAAATAAAATGAAATCTATAGAATGTTACTCCAAAAAATAGGTAACCTAAAAAATTAATTAGTTTCTCATCCATACATACTCTCATACTCCAATCCACAGCCTGGCATACTACAGTGGATAGGTACCAGGTTAGATAGGAAAGGTACCATGTTGCTCAAAAGGAATAAGATCTCGCATACACAAAGTGCATGTGAAAACTGGTGAAATCTGAATGAGGTCTGTGTTTGAGTTAGTAGTATTGTTCTGCCAATATCATGGCCTTGGTTGACAATGGTTTTATAAGATGTAATCACTGGGGGGTGACAAAGAAAGGGCACACATAGTCCTCTGTGCTATTTTCATAACTTATTGTGAATCTTAAACTACCAAACATCAGAACCTGTGTAAATGGCAAGATTTGCCATGAATTTCCTTTTTTTTTTTTTAAATTGAAGAAATTAAGTCAGTTTCCACATGAATTCACAGTTTTCCTGGATTGTAACTGAAGTGCTTTTAAAATAAAACCCTAAAAAACAGATTCTCCAAATGTAACTCATGAAAGAGAGTCTATTTTATATCCCAATTTTATTCACTTTTCTGAATAGTCACAACAGTATTCTATTAGGGATAATCTAGTTAGTATAGTTGAAATTCCATTTATTTTTTCCTATTGATATGCATGTATTACACATATATAGTACAGAATTTTCAGTGTTGTTTTAAAGGACATGGTTTAATAAATGAGAGGCATGATCTATAATTTTAAACCAACCTAGAACAAATTCATAATTTCAAAAGTAATATGGTTTTCTTCTTTGTTCCAAACAAATTAATGATATAATTGATTCAGAAACTCTAGCACAACTGTTATTCCTGTCTTAATGTTCATATAGTATTGAACCATTGCAAAATCCATGTGGAGTCATCTAGGTTTATGTATAATTGAAATAAAAGGAATATGTCATTTCATTGACTTATAGGGCAGTATAGTTTAGTTCAGTGTCAAAAGCATACTTTACAAATTTAACTTTTAACAAATTTTACCACTTTTAGTAGTTTTGCCCAGAAAAGTTTATATCAGTCTTTGGAAATTGTTACCAACTAACAGACCAAAGGTCTTCAGTCGGCTCTGCCTCCATAGTGGAAAACAACATATACCCAATTGATCACGTCAGTGAGTTTATGAAACACAAAGGATGTCCACACCTTCTCTAACATAATGGGATTTCTAATAGGACAATTTCTGAAGTATCTTCCCAGTAGTCTAAGATGAGTAAAACACAGAAGTTCCTCCATTTACATTCCTTCAGACTGTAAGTTTATACAATATTATTACAGAATAGCTTAGCCATTTCCATTCTTCTCTCCCTTCACATCATAAATGAAACAAAATAAATGTAGTATAAAAGTATACATTCTGTAATAATGTAGGAAAAAAGGTACATACATGTTTAAGGCCTTTAAATATTTATATGATTTTTCCTATAGAACTGAAAACCACAAATGTTCAGATTACTACAAAAATGTGAGCAAAAACTAACCTAAGAAATTGTTCACTTGGGACAACTATAAGCAAACATTTATAAATTTGATACCAAGGAAAATGAGCAATTTATTTTATCCACAGACTGGACAAACAGCATTCAAACAGTCATTGGGATCAAGCAAGAGACAGCTTTCTAAAATGAGATAGAAAGAACAGTTTTAAAATGTAACAAATGTAAATGAATAACTTTCAAGCTAAGAAATCAGAAACCCACATGCATCCCTGGCAATTTTTGAAACTGAAGGCTACCTAACTCAATACTTGACTGCCCACTGCTGATTTCTGTGAAGGAAAAAAGTAAACATAAAACCAAAAGAAAACAACCCACTTTAAAAAAGAAAGAAAGAAAGAAAGAAAGAAAGAAAGAAAGAAAGAAAGAAAGAAAGAAAGAAAGAAAGAAAGAAAGAAAGAAAGAAAGAAAGAAAGAAAGAAAGAGGGCTTTAGAGGTACAAAATAGGATTCTATGAAAATGGTAATTCAATTCTAACTACTACCTATTTAACTGACAGAGCTGCAGTAGTGTGTAAGCCTTGGGGAAACATGTCAGCTAGTCTATACATTCTTATGTGATTGATGTACTCAGATAACTATTACTTGCCAACAATAATGATTATCAATGGATATATTTTTCCATTCCTTTAACAAAAGCAACTTTAAGATGTTAAAACATGTAGGCTTTCAGAGCTCCAAGATTAGGATACAAATAAAATGATCTCAGTCCACACCATGCCAGAGAAGTTTGCAAAAGTCACTAAAGCCATATACAGTCCCACTAGCCACTGAACACAGGACCAGACCCAGGAACACATCCATGACAGAAGGCCAGTGCATTCGGGAGACTTTCAAAAACAAGAAAAGCAGTCACATTTGGAGGCAGGAGCCCAAAATGCCAGTGTCTCTGACATCCCCGGGAAACACCAACTCTTCAGATAAGGACTTCAAATTCTTTTAGGAAGTGCAATTTTACAACTTGAACACAGTTCAAATCTGATGAACTCTTCGTGACACAGAAGTTCATGTCTGACTTTTTGAAAGTCTTGATTTCAAGAAGATGCTGATTACAAGCCATAAAATCCCTTGGAAATAAGAGTCTGGAGTGCCTCTTTGGAGCAGTATAAAAATCTTTCTTCAAGACCACCAGAGAAGTTAAGTTTCTGTGCATATGTTCAAGGTGATCAGCCTTGAGGGTCACTTGATTTATTCTTAGTTAATGTGTTACCTACAAAGGAAGAAGAAAATATAATAATTTCATAAAATAGCTATAATCTTAAATCCCCAAAAACAATTTATCAATATATTAGAAGTTAACATATAATTCAAAATGCTGGTATGTACTATATGAAACTGTTGAATTTTAAAGACTACTACATCCCAGCTTATTAAAAGTTACACCTGTATTTTCCTATCAGTTCACAATATTTCTAGGACCACTTGCAGAATCATCTAAATGACTCCAACTGTGACCAGGAAACTCCTAACGGGAGATGCCATCCATCTCAAACCCACAGAATGAGTCAGGAATTCCTGTTCTTTGCACAGGTTTGGAGGACATAATCCAGAGACCATAAACACATCATCCCAGCCCTTGGGAATGAACTCCATAACATCTATTCTTAAAATAGATTAAAAAATAAGTGCTTATTTGGCTTAAATTATATTTCAGGAAAATTAATTATTCATGAAGGTGTTTGGAATTGCCTTACAGTCCTTTTCTAGCAATGGTTGTAACAAAAATGGAATTCTTAAAAATTATTCTGAATATTTTGATTCCATTCCAATTAGTTACATAGTTATTTCTCCTTTCATAAAACATTTACAAAATGGCTATTTTTCTTTTGCTTTGCTTTTGTTGTGTTTTTAATCAACTATGAAAAAGAGAAACATTGAACAAACAAACAAAAAAAGAAAGCTTCCTCTAGATGTTGTTCTACCAGAGCTAGTCTCAAATTATACCACAAAAGGAAGGTATAAAATTCATAAATTCCTTTGTGTCTCTATGGTGGGCCCTCATTCCCATGGAACAGTGGTCGGCAAACTCATTAGTCAACAGAGCCAAATATCAACAGTACAAGGATTGAAATTTCTTTTAAGAGCCAAAATTTTTAAACTTAAACTTCTAATGCTACTTCTTCAAAATAGACTCACGCAGGCCGTGGTATTTTGTGGAAGAGCCACACTCAAGGGGCCAAAGAGCCGCCTGTGGCTCACGAGCCACAGTTTGCCAACCACTGCCATGGAAGGAGCCTCTGCCTGTACATTTGACATTCCTTTCTGCCATGCACAGAGGAACTCTGGGAGGAAGTGAACTGAGGATGGGAAGTTACAAACACATAGGTAACGGGCCGGGCCCCTGATCTCAAGAGATTCTAGGAGCCAGGGAGCAGGTAGGGCAGCAGCTCTCTCTCAATTTGCCATTTAGTGGTCAAGTGCTGTGAATAAGTTCCATTTTTTCTGTCAGTGTAAGAAGAACATGGGATGGGAACAGGACTATTTCTATGGACATTATGCCACAGACTACTAATGGAGATAACTGATGATTGTGAAAAATAAGAACATTTTTTTTATGACAAACTTTCTGGCTAAACATTAATTTACAAATCTTTTATTTTCATGGGCTGAAAAAGATCCACCTGCCTTTTCTGAAAGTTCTCAGTAGGAAAAATTATGAAGCATAATAGAAGACCATACTTCTAAAACTAGTGGTTGGAATGACAGGAAAAGAGAGGAAGTGATACAGAGAAGGAGGAGAAAAGATTGCAAGAGAACAAATGGTTGAGCCTCAGCAGGGACACAGCATAGGCAACTGGAGGGACATGGTGTCATGTCTGTGAAAGTGAGGGCATGTCCTCTTGAGTCACTTCAAGCCCAGTTCCTAAGTCATCTATCGGTAGGTAACATAGATGCATTCTTCATTCTAAGCTAAGCTAATTACTTCATTCTGCTGCTTTATGTAAATCTCAGGAGTGATTTTTCTCAACTAATTATATTTTAAAACTTTGTTTTCAAATCATTTTAAAAATAGGCATCCAACTCGACAGTACAATACACAGGCTTATGTAATCAGCACAAATTTCTTCTCCATCTCAGTAGAGAAAACATACATGTATACACACAAACATATAAACACATATAAATATAATTGTACAATCATAACCTTCAGGAATATCATAAGTATATATTCTTTCTTTCTTTTTTCTTCTTCTTCTTCTTCTTTTTTTTTTTTTTTTTTTTTTTTTTTTTGAGAAAGCCATTTATCGATACTACTACTACTCATTTCCTCCTGGCACTTTCTCCATTGTGTGGAGCAATGGCTCTGGCTCCTTGGGAGTTTGTGTTCCTCCTGCAGCTCCATCCCAGTCTAAACATATATTCTTATTATACTCAGTTTTTATCAGCGAAAATAATTGCTAGAAAATCAAAATGTCAACCTGACTAAAAGAAGTAATTATTGAAATAAGCAGGGGTTGGAACACAATTAAGGTAATTTTTTCACATGTTTAGAAAATATTATTTGTTTATTAATCCTAAATTCTAGTATATTCTAAAGTGTTTTATGAGATGAAGAGTAGGGCATAAGTTGTTTCTAACATCAGACAAAAGTGGACAATCGTTTTAGATTGGGTTTTGATCAGATGGTCATGTGGTTTGGCATCTGGATTTCGGTCAGTGTGGCAGTAATACTGTTCCCACTGGGAGTTCAGTTTTTCCATATGTAAAAAGGAGGAGGGGTGATCCGTTAACCTCATAGGGTGCTGTGAGGATAAAATATTATGTTTACATAATACCTAGCTTTGAAGACTGAAGAATTATAAAAAACAAAAGTTTTAGAGTTTTGTTTTTTAACTGCATACATTTTTAATAAGAGAGCCACTAAAAGTAGGATGAAAGGATTATACTAACAAGTCAGAGGATTACATTTAGGGAATTCAAACAAAGACTAAGTAATAACTTGCCCTTTTCAATGTAGTTATAACTACAAATGTGTTTACCTTCCCTGACAACCTCCAGATTTTGTAGCAAATGATATGGCTAAACCAAAGATTTAAAAAATTATAGAAGATGAATTCATGCACCAGTGGGGTCCCTGGGCCTGACCTATAGGATCAGACCAAATCTGGCTCTTCAACATCCCCCGAGGGGTCCAGGATTGCACAAGCCAGGCTGAGGGACCCCATGGTTTACGATCAGGGTTGGGAAGGGATGCAGGAGGTTGGCTAGCCAAGGGACACAGGAGGGCTCCAGGGCATGTCTAGCCCATCTTGCTCAATCCCGATCAGCCAGACCCCAGCAGCAAGCTAACCTACTGGTTGGAGCACCTGCCCCCTGGGGGTCAGTGCACGTCATAACAACTGGTTGACTGGTCAACTGTCTGCCCCCTTGTGGTCAGTGCACACTGCACATCATAGTGAGCAGTTGAGTGGCCCTTAGGCATATCATTAGTATAATATGCTTTGATTGGTTGAATGGCCAACTGGACAACAGGACACTTGCCATATAAGGCTTCTGAATATAGGTACCAGTTTTCATCACCTAATATGTAAGATCCAAATCATATCCTATATTGTAAGTGGCCAATATGTAAATCGACTGAACAGCAGAACAACCATTCGCTATGATGCACACTGACCACCAAGGGGACAGACACTCAACAGAAGCTGCCTCCTGCTGTCAGTGCACTCCCATAGGGGGAGCTCCGCTCAGCCAGAAGCTAGGCTCAAGGCTGGCCAGCCCAGTGGTGGTGGCTGGAGCCATTCCCGCTTCTGCAGCAGTCCTAAGGATCTCTTACTAACGGCTTGGGCCCACTCCCTGTAGGGGAAGATAAATGGTCCATAGGGAGCAGACCTAAGCCATCAGTTGGACATCTCCTGAGGGCTCCTGGACTGGACTGGGAGAGGGCACAGGCCAGGCTGAGGGACCCTCTCCCCGCCGCAATGCACAAATTTCCTGCACCAGGCCTCTAATTTTAAAATAAAATTATTGTCTAAAATTTAATACACAAAAGTATAGCCCTTTTCTAATCTAAATATAAGTCCAAGGGACTCAAGTTTAAATTCTGGCATCTCAGTGGGGCAAAACCAATGTCATTTTACCCTTTGTAGACTACAAACTGGTATTCCTGATATTGGAGAGTTGCTTGAGTAATATTAATACAACCCAATATTTATTTTTTTTCATTTAAAAGTAATTTTTAATACACCAAATTAAGCATTGCTTTATATTTAGAACTTAAATATTACCCTCTTTTTATTCAAGCCATATCTTTTGGAAGAGGCCAAATTTTAAAAGTTGTACCTTCTAAGGAGGATTTTCAGCAAGTTTTCAGTAACTAAAAGCACAATGTTGTAATAAAAGCAGTTTTACAGGAGAGGGAATAGCACTGGCTGCCATGAATGTGCTGTCTTCTGGTTCTGAGGGCAATAGACATACAAGACTGCAGGGGAAGAGAAATGGTCCTACAATTATGGTTGTGCCTGGAGCTTCATGCACTATAATCACTATCTCGGTAAATTTGCCTTTTCAAAGGCAATATTTTACACAGCTGTTCTTATTTATGTAAATGTTATTTGTGTGTGTGCTGCACACCAACCAATTCGTCAAGTGAATCTACTTAGCTGCTGAACAGGTACAAAATGCAATAATAATAATAATAATAATAACAACAACAACAACAACAACAACAATAATAAAATAACAACAGCTTTCCTAGTCAAAGCAGAAAGGTATCTTGGTAATGATTCACTAGAATGAAAAAGCTAATCTGATAACAGTTTTTTTAAAGCACTAATTCTTTAAGATAAGAATGTCTGTTTATGGTCTCCCAGTCCAAAAAATCTATTTTAGGGTCCTGATTAGATTTCTCAAAAATGTATAATAAAATTATGTCTTTTAATTTTGCCCAAAATTTATACTAAAATTACCAACTAAAATAGAGAAAATAAAACCATTTTTATTTTACGGCCTATTTGAAATCAACTGAAGTCAACTATTTTATATACTTCTCATTTTATATTTTGAAGATTACAAAATATCCTTTTGACTTTCTTAAAGTTAAGATAAACTAGAAAGTCTCAAAAGGAAGAAAATTCAATAATCTATTCAGTTATCATGTGTAAATGATGCTTTTAAAATCATTACATTTATGGAGTCTAATCTTCCCCCATGTTCAAGTCATGCTGACTAGGTTATTAAGGGGAGACAACATATTATGGCGCGAGGCATAGAGTGGGCTCTGTAGGCAAATCGTGAGTTCTGATCTCTGCCTTCTATAGTAACTTTCTAACACTGTGGGGCTGAATAAATTAAACTCCCTGTGCCTTAGTCTCCCGTGTGTAATATGGGAAGGGTATTATCGACCCCTATAATTTTGCTACTTCGATGAAATCAGGTAGTTCCTGCAAAGTGTCGGTCCAGCTACATGGACAGAGGTAGTAATTGCCAAAGAAAGACACAAAAGATATGGATACATATTGGAGGGGGCACTACTTCATATTTCTCTACAACTATTGACTTACTCAATTAGAGTTAATTTTCTGTGTCTCATAGTAACTGATCTTGCCATTTTTCTTTTCATATTCTTGTCACTCATAAAACTATTATATGCAGAATGAAGCACTCTTTTGGAGAACTTTAGGAGAGAGAGAATCTTTTCAGAACGGATGATACAGATGGGTGGTTAAAAAGGATGTATCTCAAAGCTAAGCTAGGCTCAGTTCTAATAAGTCAGTACATGACCTTGTGTAAAACAGGTATATTAATATCTACATCAAAGAGGTGTATGAACTGAGAAGTTAATGGGTCAAGTGTTTAGAACAGTTCTAGGCACACAATAAGCATAGCAAGTGGTAACAATTATTCACAATTGCCCCTCATTCTTTCTGAGTATACGTTATTAGTCTTCACAGGCACATATTATAATTCCATTCTCTTTCATCCTTTGCCTTTCCAAGGGGCCAGCTACCATCAGACTTTGTATACAGGACAAATATTTAGGAAATTAGCACTGTACTCTAACAACTTACGCTTGAAAAATAAATAGGGTATAAGGATGCCAAAACAAATTAAGATTTGTAAATTTATTTATCCATTATTGACGGTTCCTCTGATATTGTTTTTCTTTGATTTGTTTGAACCTCAGTCATTCAGTTTGTCAGTTTACATGAAACTGTGAACTCACTGCCAACTTTCCACAGCATCAATGTGAATGTTCTATCATATTAACTAAATTCACAAAATAATATGTTCTCTTCTTCAGTATGATCATTAAAATCTTATTATGAGGAGCTACTGAATAATTCACTCCTGTGACTGTAAAATGAATCCTATACACACAATAATAGAAGACAATGCATTTTTGAACATTAGGAATCAATTTCGTTTTCTAAAATGCTAAATTTTCACTAAGATACCCATGTTATTAGGGAAACATTTACTTTTGGATTGAGGAACATTATTTATTTAAGCAATTGGAAGGCAAGAATTATGTGGATGGCAGGTTTAAATCCAATCTTTCTAGTATAGCCCCTTAGTAATATCACAAATAGGCACCATTTCAAACTAACATTCCAATAAATAAATTCAACTACTCGATAAAGGTAAAAGGAAGAATAGAATATCTTCATCATCCTAAATGCTGATTTGAATATATTTTTCCTTGTGTGGAATATAATTGCTGTTTCACTGCAAATGTATTTTTTAATGTAGCTTTTATAAGTACATGAATTAAGCTCTCACTTCACTTTTGTCTACTAAATGTGCAATTAAAACATAATTACTCTGCAGTAGCAGGTTTTCTCATTTAAGCTGGAGAAAATCTGCCATTGAGCTAGTCATAACTGTACATGAATGCACTTGTCCTATCCTAAAGCACCTTATACAGGGACGTATTACAAAATGAAAGACACCTGTCAGTCTGGGATAATCATTCGATAGCAAGCTGACCAGGCAGTTTTTAGGTACAAATGAAGTTAAGTCAATGACATATGAATTGCCTTCATAAATATGCCAATTATACAAAAAATAAGACTGTCATTGCCTTTCAGGTGATGTGGTGATTCCAACAGCCTTTAAAGCTGTTGCGTTTTCATACCACAGTTTAATTTTCCTTCCTAAGAATGGCTAATGCTGAAATGATCTGAGCATTTATTTCAACATTTGAGACACCAAAGGTTTTCTGTTTAATGCTTCAGCTAGAGTCAGCATTTCCACTCAATGACCTTGTTATCTGTTGTATAATTTTTAAAAAAAATTTAACAACCTTGGGTGATGGGGACGAAAGTCATTTTAAACAACAGAGAGCCTTTGGGTCACTAACTGATTATATTTAGGTGCAGTTCTGTGTGGAATCAGGAAATGGCATATAGTCTTCCTAGGTTTCTGCAGAGAACCAGAACATACTGCAAAACTGAGGAGAGAGAAGAGGCCTTATTCTGATAAGAGTTTTATTCTAGCATCACAGCCTGCTAGTAGTTTTAGAAATTTGGACAAGTCACTTAACCTCTGAATTTCCAGGGTCCATACCTTCCACGAGAGTCAGTTGGATTCAGTGAACTTCTGATTCCTTTCTATCCCCAAACTACTATGACCTTTCTTAAGAAGGACTAATTCCTCCTGGGATAAAACTTTGCCCTGATTACCTAAGTTCATCAGTGGGATAACCCCTATGTAGACTTCTTTTTTTTTTTTTCTTCTAAAAAACCTACTCACTAAATTAGAATGCAAAACTAGTGAGCTTTGCCACAAATCCAAGAGCTGTCAATGGCGTTCAGCTTCCTATGCTGTGCACATGAAGATCCTGACTGGAAATAAATCTTCTGAACAGATGGACCTGCACTGTTTCTTGGAACTTTGAAAGCTGTGCAGTGCGCCTGCCTTGAACTCTTTTACGTGACTCATGAAAACAGATGACTGTTTGCACAGCCACTTATGCACATTCATCCACTCAGAGGCAGATCCACTGTTCCTCTCTGAGACAGTCACTGTTAGCAAAGCATACCCTGACTTTGATCCTGGCAGCTGATAGGTTTTTTGGGGACAGTAAGGAAACTTAAAACTTGCCTGCTTCTTCTTCCCCAGACCTCCATCATGCACTTTAGTTCATGCAGGTCAAATATGAGCCCAAAATTAACATAACTTTGAAAGACAGCAATATAATGGGATTCAGTTATGTTTCCTTCAGAAATATAAAAAAGCCCTTAAAATGGGAGAATTGTTATTTTGAATGTTTGGAGGAAGTCTGAATAGATTTTTTAAAGGTATTATTCCATATACCAGCACAGTTCACATATTTTTAGACAGTTGATATTTTGATTTCAATTAAAAGGTACTTTACCTGCTAGATTTGATAATAGTGTCCCCCCCCCTCCTTTTTTTTGAATTACCTCTCATTTGTTAAGACATAATTTGAAAGGATAGTTTGGGGGGGGGGGTTCCACTTTGTCATTAAGGATTAATTCAAAAGTGAATATCTGCTAGAGTATCACACTTCTCAAGGATTTCAGCCTCATACATCTGAGGGCTAGTAGAAATAAGCAGTAAAAAGTATGCTTAAAAGCGGGATTTCAGTACAGTGGAATTTTGGAAGAAGAAGGGCAGAAACTTAAGAAATTCATCTTAGTGACCTAGAGATGACTAAGAGAGCAATGTTTTTTCATATCCTCCTGATTGGTTTGAGTTAGAAATACAAGTGGTTCCTAGTAATAGCATTTCTTTAGGATACCTGACTGAATAAAAAATATGTTGTTTATTATATCCCACAAATGAGTGAGATCATGTGAAAGATATTTATCACATGATCTCATTCATTTGTGGGATATAATGAACATAAACTGATGAACAAAAACAAATCCGGAGACAGAAGCATCGATCAGACCATCAAACCTCAGAGGGAAGGTAGGGGAGGGTGGGGGTAAGGGGAAGAGATCAACCAAAGGACTTGTGTGCATGCATATAAGTCTAACTAATGGACACAGACACCAATAGGGTGAGGGCATAAAGGGGGGGTGTGGGGGATAAGGACACACGTATAATACCTTAATCAATAAAGAATTGTTTTAAAAAAAGAATATGTTATTGTCGCTTTGAGAACTTGAGGAAGACAAAGCTAGCACCATGCCTGAAATAACGCATCCTCTCTCATCTCCATACCTATCTTTTCCCATAAAATGAAGTGTAGAGATGATAGATCTCTGAAAAAAAAACTTCCCTTTCTGCAAAATGCTCAACTAAATTCAATTTTGAAGAACAGGGAAGCATATAGACAGTGACATTTAATATGTTGGTGCTTTTACTTTTACTCCTTTCTATTTCCCAGATATATTCCTCTCTGGGTGTTGCTTGTTTGTTTGTTTTTAATAACACTCAAGCCCTAGCTTGTTTGGCTCAGTGGATAGCACTTTGGCCTGAGGACTGAAGGATCCTGGGTTTGATTCCAATCAAGGGCACATGCCCAGGTTGCAGGCTCAATCCCTAGTAAGGGGTGTGCAGGAAGCAGCTGATCACTGATTCTCTCTCATCCTTGATATTTTTTATCTCTCCCTTCCTCTCTGAAATCAATAAAAAAATGTATTTTAAAAATAATAATAATAACAATAATGTCAAAATTCAGTAGTCACAAATTCCCAAAGTTGATCAAAATATGAATATTTAACTCTAGCTATTTCTAAGTGCTTAGATGCTGGTCTGAGATGGCTGATTCAATTTTAGGGCAATTTAAATATAGAAAGTATGGACCATTACGTAAAGGCACAATCATCATTTGGTGTATGGAAACTCAGAGAAAGCCGGTGGCACAATACTTTTCATGCTAATTTCCAAATTAATAGGCAGATTGAGCACTGATAGGGGTCCACTAATACAACCAGGGTTTTATATTATCCATTGTGTCAACTGGAGGGCTATTGTAGGTGGTAATATTAAATTCACAATAATGCTATATTGGCTATTTGTGGCCAATCTGTTCAGTTTGTGGGTATCATAGTTCAAAGAATGATGCCCCTTCTTTTAATAAAAATAATTTGATGCCTTTTTTCCCTGACCACAGAGGCAAGTCTTTGCCTTCTGTTCCCTAAAACTGTATGGAGTTCATTTTTCCTCTGCAATCAGGGGCCCCTGGAACGCTGATGGGAACTGTAAGGAAGAGTTGGTTACAGTTAATCCTGTAACACAATGTACACACCTGCTGCTCTGGGAGAAATGAACCGAGGTGAGAGCTCATTTCTGGAGTTGTTTTGAATCTCTACTCCTCAACGAAACTTCTGTCCCTTTCTTAGAATCCGACCAACACTAGGATTCATCACACTAGTGCTCCGTGGTGGAGCCAGAATATTTTGAGTGTGGATATTAAAAAATTGTCATCAGGCACAGCAGGAACCTTCTCTTTCTACTCCTCCATTCGAATTTGAAGAGTTTTACACGTTTGCCTAAGGAACAAACACATGTCAGGGACTCCATTGTTCAACAGGTTATTACAGGAAGCAAACCTGGGAGAAAGGGAAAATTCAACAGCAAGACAATAATTTCCTTTACCTCCATAAAAGCTCAGAACAGCAATAGTTTTGTATCTCTCCTAGAGGATTACAAACTCATAGGACATTTCTTATTTCAGACAAACACATACCAATGAATGGGACCTAAAAAAACAGGTGTTATAAGAAACTGATACAAGGATGGTAAGCACTTCGCATGAGTATTTTGGACAGCATTCTGCAGAAACTTAAGGAAAAAGTTCATTAAGATCAAGGGAGAAAGCACATAGAAAACAGCAGACAATCATTTTAACATAAAAGGGTAAAATAATTGTAGAAACAACATTATGTAGAATTCAAATACTTAACTGTTCATAGGCTTGTCTGAGCATCCATCTCTACAGTAATTTATAATTTGGTAAAGTATGAACCTTACTCATACATACTTTAAGACTGAGAAGTATGGCAGAGTAATATGGCCAATGTATGTGTCTAGTACCCATGGGCAATCTCATATCAAGCTATCTTTGTTGTTCTCTGCTCATCATTTGTGTAATCCTTATCAATGGTCAGAATGGGATCCATGACTTTTTCAGTTGTAATTTGTTATTTTATAGGTATAGACTTTCAAAAGTTATATTTCTTCTTTTTTATATTCTTTTGTTGATTTCAGAGAGGAAGGGAGAGATAAAAGTATCAAGGATGAGAGAGAATCAGTGATCAGCTGCTTCCTGCACACCCCTTACTGGGGATTGAGCCTGCAGCAATCCGGGCATGTGCCTTGATGGGAATCGTACCTGGAACCCTTCAGTCCACAGGTTGATGCTCTATCCATTGAGCCAATTCAGTTAGGACAAAAGTTATACTTCTAATTTATCTTTCCAAAAGTATTCCAGATATTACATAAAGCATATACTATATTAATTTCAAATATTTGGCTAATTTAATATTAGTCAGTATTATTCAATAATCATATGGAGGAGTGGCTAGTAATTTAAAATCAGATAACAGAAGGTTTTGGTAATATAAATCATTTTTTTACTTAAATTTCTTATATAAACTAGAGAGCTCAAGGTAGTTAAAACTAATCTATCATAATAAAAACATAATATGCAAATTAACCAAATGGCTGAACAGCAGAACGACTGTCCGGACAAAGCCAGGGCTACAAGGGCCAAGGTAGCCAGGGCTGCAAAGGCCTACTCTTGGACAAATTTTATGCATCGGGCCTCTAGTCATACTATAAAAAGCTATTTCCCAATTTTGAAAAAATTTTGAGTCTTTTGAGTCTTAAGAACAGAACCCCTTTTTCCCTTTCACTGCTAACTTGGCCACTTCCTCCCTAACCATAAAATGTAAGACTAAAATTATGGTGTGAAAAGGGGCGAAAAATTTATCTCTAGTCACTGCATTTACTTGACTTTATACATTTATATTAGAGCCAATGTGGTCATGACATGAGCCAGGGTCATGACTCACCATGTAAACATGTGACTGAAGACAAAAGATGAAGGTGGAGGAAATGTAGAGGAGCTTAATATCCTTGAGAAAAACACGGAGCCAATGGAGGATGTACTGCTTAACATGTCTAGTTCTCCATTTTCTTCATGTTATTAAAAAATGTGGAAAGTCTTATCATTTTTTAATTTCATATACCCACTGAGTATTTTTAGAGTGGTAACATAAATGTCACCCATATGTTTTATTTCTAATCAGTTTCTAGACCCTAGTCATCTTTTTATTCTCTTCCCAACTCTCTTTCTGGCTGTTACTATCTGCATCAAGGCCTTTATTGCATCTGGTTTGTACAGTTGCAATAACCTCCTAATTTGTCTTGTCCATTGTAGCCCTCCTTCTCTTTGCCACCATTATCCTGAAAACAAAAATCTATAATAGTTTCCCGTTACAGAAAGAGATGTAAATTCTTGTTGGTGGCCAAGAAGGTCACAATGAGACCTCAACCCACCCAGCTTCATCTCTCTATCTCCCAGAAGCCCCTCAGAGATATATAGGCACAACTCCAGCCACACCTAACTAATACTTATAGGACTTGATATGCCCATTCATATCTCCTTATCCGTGTGTTCATTTTACCTTTGCCTGAAATCCTCTTCTTCCAGACATTGGAGTATTTGCATAGTTATCACTTCATATTTCATTAGCCTTTGTTATTTATCTAGTCAGCACTTTGTCCACATTTCTATTATAAGACATATCTTGTCCATAATTCTAAGACATATTTTGTCATATTATGCTAATTTTAACCTGTTTGTTTCTTCCATTAAACTAGTGGGAAAAATGATATTAATGTATTTTAATATTAATTATTTTTATTATTTTTTTGTTGACAGAATTACAGATGCCCCTTATCTCCCACCCCCTTCACCCCTGACCCAACCATGCCGCTGTGCTAAGCAGCATTCCAGACCCTTAAATGTTGCCTAATATTTATTAAAAGATTGAAACAGTGAATGGATGGATGGATAGATGAACAAATAAATGAATATAAAGGGAAGAATGATAATTAATTTTAGAAGAAGAAAAACAAAAGTTACTGTCTGGATTCTCCATGAATAGCAAGGGAATGATTAAGTGACCCAAAAGTTCAGTTCCATCATTTTTAATTTTTTAAGGATTATTCCCCTGATTCTGTGATTTCAGAATTTTAAAATTATAGATATGCATGGGTCTTGACATAGGCTTCACTCTCACACCTTGGATATTTAAATTTATTCTCATTTGGAAAAGCCTGGTTTTTTTAAAACAAAATTAATTTATGAAAATCATAATGCAAGAAGATAATAGCAATCTGTGATGATTTAATTGATATTAGACTAATCACTGGGGATGTGGAAAATGTCCAAATAGATACAGCAAGGTTGATTATGGCATATTCATTACAGTTAATATTTCACAGAGAAATTTATCCTAATTTTTTTTAATTCAGTTTTCTCTTGAGTAATTTTAATACTGCTGCTTAATGCTGTCAGGAATTTTTTCTCATGAAATGTTCCATTGTGACAATTATCCTACACCCAAGTATCACATGCTCACTTGACAACAGGTATGGCGGCGCATACGAAGTACCAAATTCCTTATAGTGGAACAAACAAATACTGCAATGACTGCTTCATCCAAAATACTATTGTGCATGCAATCTCTCTCCCTCTGCCAGGCATGCCTATATTTAATTATATATTCTATATTTAAGTTCAGGATGCCTGGCTGCTCTCCCTCCCCCCACCCCAGATTTTATTGTTTCAAATATAGAGGCTGGTATTTCAAAAGACAAAGAGAAGTCAATTGTTGCTTAGCAAAATGCAGCAGATTACATTTTCCAGTCTAGACCAGAATATCAAAGGCAGTTGATCCTTCTGTTGCTCATGGAACCCGGGACCTTCCTCACCCTTTCTTTGCTTTTCGCTTTCAGATATTAATTGCCTGCACCAGTAGACTACTTAGTGCATATCCATATTCTCTTATAGCTCTCAGAATTATTCTGTGAGACTGTCCCTTTGCTATTTACTGTTATGAGTCTTTGTTTCTAATTACTATTATCTCCTCGCAGTTAAATGGAAGCTCTGATGAATTAAGTGAAACTTTTCAAGGATGCCTATAAGCAGTAGGTGATAGTTTGCAGACTGAGATCCCTGGTTTGGGGCTTCAAACCTAGTGAAATAGGCCCTGCATATTTGTTATTTCATTTATTCATTTGACTAATATTTACTGAGCACATATGAAATGTCAGGTGCTTTCCTAGGTATGGAGGGGAGGAAGAACAAAGAATCATTGCCCTTGTGAAACTGATCACCGGTCAAAGACACAATATAGTAATATTTTAAAGTATCTTGCCGAAACCGGTTTGGCTCAGTGGTAGAGCGTCCGTCTGTGGATTGAAAGGTCCCAGGTTCGATTCCGGTCAAGGACATGTACATTGGTTGCGGGCACATCCCCGGTAGGAGGTGTGCAAGAGGCACCTGGTCGATGTTTCTCTCTCATCGACGTTTCTGGCTCTCTATCTCTCTCCCTTCCTCCTCTCTGTAAAATATCAATAAAATATATTTTTTTAAAATATTTTAAAGTATCTTAGCCGATGCAAAGAGGAAAATATAGCCAAAAGGAAGAGGGGGGATTTTGAGGCAGGGATGTTCAATTTTAGTTTGCATAGACAGGGAAGACTTGCTAATAAAGTGACACTTCAGTGAAAGCCTAGAAGAGAGGAGAGAGCCAATCGAGCTGATAGCTGGTACTCCATGCAGAGGGAATGCATAGCATGTGCAAATGACCTGAGACAAAAAAAAAGTAAGGAGGGAAGTATAGTGGCAGTGAAATAAGCAAGGGAGATAGTATAGAAGATGAGGTCACAAAGACTCATTCATTCATCTACTTCTTAGTTGTTGTTTTCTTCAACAAATGTTACTTTTCTTGCTATTTTACTTATTGGAGATAACCAGTGGGCAAAAGCAGATAGGATACTTGTCATGATTGCACACTAAGTGGAACTACATGGTGGTTACCGTAAATAACAGGCTTCATTCCTTCCTCCTTTCAAAAGCCTTATTCCTGGAAGTTGGAACTGGGGAACTGGATAGAACCTGAATGCACAGATGAAAACACAATGGCTTCTCTATAGAAGCCCTGGAAGCCACTGTTCTTTCCATCCCATCAGCGAAGAATTGCAAAGCTTTAGGAATGGAGAGGCGTGTGTGGTGTGTGTGTGTGTGTGTGTGTGTGTGTGTGTGTGTGTAGATTTGGGTGTGAAATAATGGAACATTTCCCTGGCTAACCTTTTCAGCTGATTGGTGGCAAAACATTCCTGAATGTGTGTCTTACATACACTTACACTCTAGCTAGATGGAGACATCCCCTAGTGTAGAAAAACAATCTCGAATAAGAAGGTCATGCAATCCTCCACTGTAGCTTTCAGCTTTCCCTGTCTATGAGAAGTGTTTTAA